GGCATTTGAAGATTCTAAGTAAATGAAAATGCGACGTTTAAATGTACTTTGGAACTATACCTTTGAATGTATATAATATTTCACTCATCAGTTATATTTGTTAATATCCTTCATATCTTATTTACAGTATGGTATCAGGAGAAACAAACAGTAGAATTCCGTTCAAATTAGCAATACATCGATTGTTATTTAAAACAAATTTAAACTAAAAGCTCTTCTTTATCAATAACAACGTCTTCAGTAAAGACCAGTTCGTCGATATATGGCAATCAGTATGACACTAATAAATCCTAAGTATTATTTCGAAATAATACTTAATACTCAAGTCAAATTAACAAGAGAAAATTTCTTGGGTCAATTAGATATTTTTCGTCATTTCCATCCTCTGACATCGAAATACTTGATAGATTGTTTAGATTTCCTCTTATTTGGCATCGTATGACAAATGCCAAATTATTTATCATCCGCAAAGTCAGGTTGTTTTCTGGCTCAAGAAAAAATAAAGTAAAATTTAAATCATATCACATTAAAGTGTCTATTATTTCTACTTTAATGCACTTATGACAATCTCTTTCCAATCATTATTTGAAGGGGCACTCTCTAAAAGTAGTTATTTTCAATCAACAACTTATTTTATCTAACAAAACGAAGAAATATTAGTTCATACAATTAAGTCCATGGTAAACGTTTTGATTTAATCCCAGGGGTTCATTCATGTTACGAAAATATTTTATTAATGTATATGATTGAATGCTTATCGTCTAGGATCTACTGATATAGACGAATGAATTTGTAAGCCTGATGTTATAAAGCATCCTCAAACATTTTTTGTTGTTGTAGGAATGATCATTTACATCAGGCAATTTTATTTCCTTTAGAACTAATGTATAAAAGTCCGTTATTTTCTCAAGTTTTACTTTTTTTATTATGTACAGAATACTACTGAAATGATCTGGAATTATAGTTTTTCTTACTAATAGCTAAAATGCCACACTTTCTATCGAAATATTAACATAAGGTGTTTGGAGAATCTAGACATTTTTTAAAATGTCAATGTGAGTTGGTATCTACACTTAACAAGATCATCTCATAAAATCCCTTTTAAGGAATGTCTGGAATGCGTGTAGACATCAATAACAAATTAGCTTTTTAGTGCTGTCTGATTTCCGAATGAAAACATTGTCTAGTTTAAAGCAGAAATTTAAATTTGTTATGAATATTTAATTTACAGAGTTTTTTCAAGATGTGCAGTATTATTTTTAGATAATGTAGATAAATCTTTGACTCATATGTCATACACACGAAATTCTTTTCATACTAGAGAAGTTAAAACTGAACTCTTCTAGATGCTCTAGAACCAGTTTTATGAATTCCGAATTTCTACACTAAAACATTTGTTTACTTGTTTATGTATTCAATAAACGAGAGTATCGATAACTATTACGTAAATAAATAAAATTGTGTTAGAAAAATTCTTAGTCAATACCATTGAGATTGATGTTTTGATGTACTGGTGACCTAATAATTCTGTGAGGGAAGCCGTTATACACTTTCAGCACTGAATGATAGTCTCACCGTCGCGAACTTATTTTGAAAATAAACTATCGAGCTCAAATTTAAAGGGTAAATTAGGTAGTATTCGATTATATGTTGATTTCTTGATTCAACTTTATAAAGTTATTGGTGTGTAATGAAGAAAATTCTTAATTTAAGTGAAAACGGCTGCTTAATGATCTTTGGAATGTTTTGGTTTCATTTGCAAATATCAGTTTATGAAAATTGTTATCTTCAAGCAGGTCGAACAGAGTTGACTCAACATGTATTACAGACGGTTATTTTGATAATATTGATTTAATATTTTATGAAAATCATATTCCATGAAGTTATTTGCATTTCTTTCATTTCACATGAGGATTTATAATTTAAATTAAAGAAATGTAACTTCTAATGTAGTGAATCAGAAATCAATCATTTTACAGTTCTCTACTTATATAACTTTTAGTGATTCAGGAACATCTAAACCAGCTGGCTCCAGGTATCAACAGAGTATGAATTAGTTAACATAACTTTTCAGAAGTGTTGAAGTACGTTGAGTTAATCAAATTGATTATATCGACAATACTATAATAAGTAGTAGTCTTAATGTTTTCAGAAGTTTGTATTCACTCTCATGAATACCTAGTTAACAGGAATTTTTAAAAAATCTACTTTGTTTTTGGAAAATTATTTCATCGGTATCTGAATGTGTAAAACTATAATTTGAAACAAATCACTTGTATATTTCTATTCTTAGTTAAGTTGAATGATTTGATTATACGAAGTCAACCATTTTAAGTTTAATTTATCTTAAAGAAATAGCTCAGTACATATAAGTGGCTAAATGTGGTAGTTACATTTTTCCCGATTTAACACTCTATAAAAAAAGAGGGTCTATCGATTTCACCTAATATAGTATACAGTTGATAGTTGGTTAAAATAATTACTCACTACACACGTAGTATTTAATAAATTTGTGTAACCAACCATAACGTTTCTCTCGTTTTACTTTCCCACATTCAGTTAATTAATTTCCATATGACGTTAAGATCAAAATTATAAATCATGTTAGGAAATCAAGTGATATGAAATATTAAAATCATTAAAATAACCAATTCATATAAATTCATGGACAGTTTAGAATGGAGTTTAAAAAATATTAATGATCATGAATCATTCTGTGATTCAGATCAGTAGCCATGATCTTGATCAATTGATATTTAATCTGTATGAGGTTTAAGTTATCAGAACTGTTAAAAAGAAATATTCCTTGTTACATTTAAACAAATTTTATACTTGGAAAAAGTAACCTATTTGGAATAATGATCTTTCAAGAATGAACAAAACTTTATTAAAATGTGTGAAACTATCATCACAGTGAATAAAGCTGGTGATTTATTGTCACTGATGGTTCAACTTATTAGTCAATTATCGTCATACAAAAGTACGTACGAACGCATCTGTGAAGGTATTTAACACATATGGTATTTAGTATATTGGATTGTATGACGTAATCTATAAAGGGTTCCGATACTGGTAATTTTCAAACTATTTATCGATTATATCAATGTATTGTATTTTCCAGACGAATACCTTATTTATTATGTAGCTAAATATGCGACTTAACGGTATTAATAACCACTATAATTGAAATTAAATTTCTGGCATAAATTTCCTTTTAAACACATTTTCTCCGCCTTTATATAGACTTCATTTGGTTAAATAAACTTCTAACTGAAAAGCTTAAGGCTACGGTACTTAGCTAACGTAGAGGATTTCTTACCTAGCACTGATTTGGTTTTTCTTGCCTTTCCTAACTGTATAATTTGCGTGAAAAATCAAGTTTAACTTGATCGTCAAATGATAAGTTCTCAATTTACAAACTGTTAACTAATAATAAAATTCTTTTTTAGTAAATAAAACTTTTCTTCGGAAAATATTTTGAAACATTTTAATTATTGATACTGAGATGAAAGACTGGCTTGTTCGTACCGGCTGAACACAAATCTATAGAATCCTATAAAGAGTAAGCTTGACAAAATATATCTGGAATATTCTCATATCAATAAATTTTTCACTCTGCAAAGAAGAAAGACATTAACGCTGATGGATGCCAGCTCTGTGATCTAGAGGTTAGGTGTTTGCGCGTGAGACCGAAAGTCCTGGGTTTGAATCCCGCGAACGGGATCGTGAGTGCGCAATGATGAGGAGTCTCATACTAGAACGAAAGTGCCGTTCAGTGTTTCCAACGTTTTTTCATGGTGATCTAGCTGTAATAGACTCATGAATTCAACTATTAAAGAGAGCTTTATTTAGTTTCGTCTTCAAAGGTAGCAGAAAGTGACTTGAATCATGTATATAGAACAATATAATTGATAAAGCTTCCCAATTGACCACAGTTATTTTGGTCTGAATTTTCAAAATATTTAAAAGTGTTTGTGGAAAACAATTGTTCTTTTCATCTAAATCAGGAAAACAAATCATTTGGACGAAATATCAGTTAATGAATCAATGTGCTCGGTTTGATAGTACCTTTTCAAACTATATATAGCCGATCTATAGCCGACAAAAGTTTTACTCAAATGGATTGATAAAAATCTGACAGGGTTGCATAACCGTGGACTAAAATCTACTTCTCTGTCATTTTTACTTATTCTCTTATAATGTTCATGGTAGTAACTGTCATAATGAAGAAAAAAATTTAACAACGTTAGAAATAATTTCGAATTTTATTTTTATACAAGTTTTGAACAGTTTCATTCTGTTCATGGTTATGCAATCATGTCAGATTTTTATCAATCCATTTGAGTAAAACTTTTGTCGGCTATAGATCGGCTATATATATATATATATATATATAGTTTGAAAAGGTACTATCAAACCGAGCACATTGATTCATTAACTGATATTTCGTCCAAATGATTTGTTTTCCTGATTTAGATGAAAAGAACAATTGTTTTCCACAAACACTTTTAAATATTTTGAAAATTCAGACCAAAATAACTGTGGTCAATTGGGAAGCTTTATCAATATCGATTGATGTTAGAACATCATTAAAAACATGGAAGCACTAGATGGCCGTCTCTTCCTACTATGGGACTCCTCATTCGTGTGCATCCACGATCCCGCACGAGGGTTTCAAACACAGGACTTTTAGTTTGATTTGCAAATACTTAACCTTTAAACCACTGAGCTAGCATCCAACGGTAATAATGTGTAACTTCAACTAATCCACGAAATTGCTCGACAAACTTCCATTGGACTATAGGTTAAGTGTTCATGCATGAGACCTATGGTTCATACTATGACGAAATAGCCATTTAGTGCTTCTATGTTTTTAATGGTAGTCTAACATCAATTAATTCATAATCTCAATAAAAAAGAGAACAATAATATAATATTTGTCTACATACATATAATAAATAGCAAATTATTTCCATTTAATATAATGATTTATAACTTACCTATAGTAGTAACAACAGTAACAGCATATAATAAAGCTCCAGTCAATGTCCAAGGATCTCGATATTCTTCAATAATACCAATTGTAGATAATCTATTTGAATAATTATTAATTTGACTAATATTATCACATAAACATTTTGTTTCATTTAAACAATTACATATAGTATTGATTTGATTATTATTATTACTACTATTATTACTAATACTACTACTAATATTATTATTAATAATAGTTTCTAATGTACAATTATTATATTTATAACATTGTGAATAAATATTTTGATAAGTTTTATTATTATATATGAATAAATTATTCATTGAATGTACAGGTTTCCAACCTGAATTACATGCATCATATGTATTATACATTAATTTTTCAATGAATTCATTTATTTTCAATAAAATATAATCAGTATAATAATTTAAATGGATTGTTAAATTCTTATATAATTCATTCAATATTAATTGATTATTGATTAGAATAGAATTTGTTTGATTCATTGGTATAATTGGTTTAATTAATTTTTGATTAAATTTTTCTAATTCTATTTTAAATAATTCTGGTTTTATTGAAAAACCATAATAAATCAATATATTGATTATATCATTTTTCCATTTTATCTCATTAGAATATAAATGATTTACATGATTTATACATAATTTTAATGATTCATGATGATAATTCCTAATTAATTGTTGTATATTTTTATGATTATAAATTAATTCAGTAGTATAATTATGTATAATATTTGATTGATTATTTTGTTCAATTAAACGAAATAAAAATGCTCCTAATGTACAATAACCAACTACAACTAAACAAAGACCAATATGAGAAAATAAAAATGCAATTAATGATTTTAAATATTTTTTAAATTTTTTACATTTTAAATTTGATTGTTTATGTTTATTATTATTATTATTATTTTGTTTTAAATCATGAAGATGATCCGATGGATTAGATAATTGATTCAATGGATACATACGTCTACCTTTCATTGAACGTAATGATGAAGAAACTTTATTATTCGATTCATGTTTTTCAGGTGAATCGATTGATTTATCTGTAATTTTTTCAATTAAAATATTTTGATGTTTTTCATTGATGATATTTTTAGTTGTTTCATCATTTTTTGATATTTCAGATTGATTTAATCCATCATGAGATTGATTTGAAGTATTTTCGAATAAACCTTCATTGGTATCATTTAACTTAGTTGAAATAGTTTTAACTGAATCCATTGGTTTGCCAATGATTGATGAGTTCTCTGATGATGTTTTATTTGATTCTAATAGATCAGATTTATTGATAATTTTTTCTTCAGTATCCATAATACGTTTAAATCGTGGAATGTTGGATTGTGGTACTTCAGTTGCAACAAAGTGTACAGTGGTCATAATGATAAAAACAATGAAAAAATATGTTTAAAGAAAGTTTTGATGATATTATTGGAAAAAACACATTCAAAACTGTTTACATACAGTTGTAAAGTAATTGGAAATTAAACTGGGAAGTAAATCAGTTTATATATATGAAATGGAATAACCAATTATCTATAAGATATACAAATATGGTAATAATTTAATGTTGATTGGTCGTACGAAAACAAAATGTGGAGATATCCCATAAATATCTTAGAAAATTTGTAACAAAATGAATTAAATATAACCTTTGTAAAAGTATTGTTTCAAAGAAAATTTCTGTTTCATATATATGATGATTCCAAAATACATTGTACTATTCAGTTATATTGGAACAGATAGGTATTATATAAAATAATGACGAACCACGATACAGTTTTTAGTATAGGGTAAGGATACTATTGGTTTAAAGCTGATTTAATCTACAGTATATTAGTCAACAGTACGTTCGTTAAGAGAGTAAAGCGATGATCTAGAAGAATGTTTAATTAAGTCTATGAATATGACGTTGGATATAAAGTCGCTTTATCTAGATTTTTCTTAAAGAACAATGATAAACAAGTGCAGATTACCTTGTTCGTATTGTTTGAAAAAAATATACTGTCTATCACATAGATTATTTCCGCCTAATACATTCTAAAAATGTTATACTCATTAATCAAATATAAATCGAATTTATAGTTGAATTCATGAGTCAATTAACACTAGACCACCACAGAACACCTGGAAGCACTAGACCACCATTTCTTTCTAGTGTGGGACTCCTCTGCAGTATGAACGAAGAACCTCAGATTTCGCGCGCGAACGGTCAACCTTCAAACTACTGAGCTGGCATTCAACAGGGTTAATCTCTAACTTCAACAATCTCCAAAAAAAGTCCAGTCTGAAAAGTCGATTTAAAAAGAGCTTTTTAAAGTTTTTCAAATATCATCACTTGTTTAAAATGAACAGATAAACAGCTATAAACTAGAATAACTAAAAATGTGTAAAGTATAGGTTAAAATATATTTCAATAGCAAATATGAATCTATTGATCTTTTTTTTCTTATTAAGAATGATAAAAACGATCAACTTTTTCTACTCTGTGTTAAACACTTATCTTTACATGTTCATAATGTTAAAGACTTTTAGTCGAGCAATAACAAATAGACTATAAACAGAGTTTCTGATCCTAATCATAAGATAGTCATTTTTGATAATTAAATATTATTTAAGAAGAATATTACCGTTCATTGACTTTTGGAAAGAAAGTCGAAATTTCATTTTTAATGCATTTGTGAGTTACAAAAAACAATGAACGTTTAGTTAATCAATGAAGTTATTGAACATTACTGAAATTCATAATGTTTTCGAGTGCCGGAAAATTGCTTATATCATGGTACTTTAAATTCAGAAGATATTATAAGTTTCTATGATAAAAAAATCATCAGTCAGATAGGCAATAAAAAGTCATTTATATTATAATATTTACAGAAATGGATAAGAAATTTGTTTCTAAGATAAATATCAATTATTTATTGATTAAGAATCGAGTTTTACAGTAATGTATATGTTTATGTTAATCATTTTAATGTAAGTTTGCTTGTCACGGAAGTTTGAAACTATCCAACTTCGATTTAACTTACATTCATCTTCTAAATAAATTACACTTACAAAAATATAAAAAAGAGGTTCCGACCAACCATTCTATGTTTCTTAATCAAAAAACTGTCATAAATATAATTATAACTGTGACTAATGTAAACTATTATTACAGTTTTAGTCAGAAAGTATTAGATAGATGTTGTTTTAAAACTCATACTTCACCATTATTTTCTTTAATTTTGATGATTTTGAAAGAAACTTTCTATACATACATCGTTTTTACAAAAAAAATTTTGATGATAACCAATATATTGTACATGAATATGTGGTTATTTTTGTTAAGTATTAGTATACTGTATGAGCGCCTTTCCATTTTTCTTCATAGAATATGATGCATGAATACTTGTTAAAGAGGCGTTCATCCAGTAATATGGGTAGTAAAGGTTAATATATATAAGATTCCCACCTCTTCTAAGAATTTTCAGCTGGATGTATCTGTGTCGGTGTTTATTTTTAGCTACAACTTGAACTTAGAACCAATCGTTTCAAATTCAGAATGCTACAAACGATTAAATTCAAATAGCTACCAAATTGCTCAACGATTAAGATATTCATTATTATTTATTAAGGATTTTATTTTTTCATCCCTGATATTCTGGAGAGAATTGTAGTAGTCTCTATTTTCTTCGAATGGCAATGCTAAAAATAGGATATTGTTAGAACACAAATCGAACAAGTACAATTTATTAAATTTAAGTCACTATCTCTGATCAGAGAAATTCGTCCATTGTTTCCATTTCAGTCTTTTAATGTTGTTTAGTTAACCTGAAGTGAAGTGGCTAATAATGACAAAAATAACCTATAATAATACATTGGAAGAAATAGATTTTGGTGGCTAGTGTCACTCCGTCACTCAATAACATGAAGATCGGATGAATAATGGAGACAAGTATCAGTGTCGTCGTTAGGAAGAACACGAGCGTATTCAGATGAGAGAGTCAGCTACATATTTCTCACCTACTTGACAAGTGAATAAAAGTGAAGGAGTCTGCGGTAAAATATGTTTAAATATAGTAAAAATCCTGTAAGACATTTGTTGAGCCGGCTTCCGAGATCTACAACGAAGCCTCCAGAGGCCCTAAAGGAGCCGAGGAGTTCCGGCCACTCAGAGCATGATGCAGCTTTCTAGAATATCAACGTGGCATGCTACTATTAGCCAGTAGCATAATATGTCTCTTAGCGGATTGGCCAAAATATAATGATGAATTAACAAATGTTAATATCTATAACTGTACAAAAATGAACCTTTGGAGTACAGTGCTTCTCGCATATTTTGCGTCTTTTCTCTCGTGTTCAGGTCGCTGTGTAGTTCTAGCTTGAGGGTTACTAGACTAGATTAGGAACCGAACAAAGCGTTCAATTAGGAAGACTTATCAACATTTATATATAGTGTTTTATGGTTCAGAATATACTGTTACAGATTTAGTTATATTATCCTCGGTTCTATCAAATTTTAATTTTCGTCTATTGCAAATACTGAGTAATATTTGTTTGAATTGCAGTGAGAATGAACATAATATCACTCTTATAATTTTGACTTGAGATAGTTAACTTTTGTGACGAAATAATGTCTCATCAGACTCTCCAATAGGTGCATTTCAAGGTATAAACGTGTCTAAAATCATTACATCCAGCTTAAACGTGAACTAGTGAAATAAAAGGAATATCTATTTCACCACAGGATAAAGAAATATGCCAAATCTTCCAGATAATTCCTGTTAGGAGCATAGTGACTAACATTAATAAGTCTTTAAATTAAAGTAAGATTGGTGTTTGAAGACAACGTGTCATTTCAATGTAGCTTAATCAGAGTAATAACGTCGATTATGTATGTAAACTATATTCAACTGTATACAATTTAGTTGGTTTCTAACGTTTGCTCACATCTAAAGCTTGTGATTAAAGGCAATATCGATGCAATCCACATAGGATGCATATATGTCAACAAGAGGCTGATCAATTACAGTCATAAACAACAATCAGAAGATACAAGTAAACAACATCAAGTGAATTCAAAATAGTGATTACTTCATAAATACAGACATTGTTGTATATATTACATTTTTATCATAAGATAATTTATGTAAACAAAAATAACTATACTGATATTGTAATGGACAATAATTTATTATCTTAAAAGTTCATCTACAAACTGCTATAATCACATTCTTTCAAAATGTAACTTATTGGAACAATAGTAATAGTAGTAGAATGAAATATTAAATGATCAAATAACCGAAGAATAGGATATGTTACTTACCACTGAATAATATGAAATGGTAAACAATACTTTTTACTGTCCTTTTAAGTAATGTTACATATAGCGGTAGAAATTTTCGAAAACACTATCTTATTTGTAACTGTGATAAATTATCGAGATTATGTAATGAAATGAATCATAATATAAAATCCGTACTCTTTTAATGTTATAGATAACAGTCTTAAATGTTAATATATAAAATAAAACTAAGAAAAGATTCATATTTACATGTACGATAGTAATATTATCATTGGTTAATTTTAACCTTTAACAGAACTACGTCATATCATATCATATATATATATATATATATATATATATATATATATATATATATCAAATTTAAGGTCATTGATTTAGTAAACAAATCATATTAAATAGTTTAACACTTCACTTTGGAATTTATAAACAAACATGGCATAATGACATTTATTACGATTACTGACTTTTTCTCTGAATGAAAATTTTCGTTGGATAATAAATTATGGAATCGATTTCTCTCTTGATATTATAACACGAAAGACTACATTTCTCATTTTCGATTATTTTCTAAAACACATTTAGACAATTAATGAATATTATCAAAAAAGGTTTTGTGGAGATTTTAGTAATTTTAATAATTGGAATCATGAGTTAATTAAAGCTAGACCACCATAGAAAACCTGGAAGCACTGAACGGCCGTTTCATCCTAGCGCGGGACTCTTCAGCAGTGCTCATCCACAATCCCACCTCACGAGATTCAAACACAGGAGTTATCAACCTCGCACACAAACGCCTAACCTCTAGATCATTGAGCTGGCATCCAACGGTGTTAATGTCTAACTTCAACTAATCCACGAAGTTGCGCCACCGTCCATCATTGTCTTTGGCAAATTGATATCTCACAAAAGATCCGGTTGAACTCCACTGGTCACTACTTCTAACTAGAACTCCAGGAAATGCATCTTGAAATGCCTCCAGACTTTCGATAGTGGTCTAGCTCCAATTGACTTGTGATTTCAACTATTGAAGTTACTAAAATCTTCGCAAAACCCCTTTTGAGAATAATTAATAATTAAATAATTTTGAAATTATGTAGATTTCAGTAGCTGAATTCAGCCTAGGGATCTTGAAAACGTTACTACTAAACATGAACTGTTTAATATTAACTTTTGAATATTAACCATGCAATTAGTTAATTTCATTCAGTTGTTACAGTTTTATGAACTCAGTGGGGAAACAAGTATTTTATACGATAAGAAGTTCAAAGACATGTTTGAGGAGGTCTGAATCGGTATAAAAATTTGTACATACATAATAAAAAGGTATAAAGAACAAAAAATTACTGAAATCGATATTAATTTTCTTCATACCCTCTTGTTAATTGCTCATAGGATCACATCATGTGGAAACTTTCACTCTAAATCAGCCCAAAAAACTCAGCAAATATACAGTTTGATAATTAAGCTGTGTGTTATTGTGTCGAATAGGTCTCTTTACACTTACTGAGAAAAATATAAATAATCAAATAAATGGTTCAAAAGAAATTTCAATTCATAGTAAAATAGTAAATACCATTTACTTGTTAAAGCATTTATTAATGAAGAAATAAAAGTCAACCGGGGAAACTGGTGGATAAAATGATAAGAATAATAGGGGAAAGCCAAAAAACAACAACTTGGACTCATTATTGTATCATTCTGAATAAAGTGTAAATTACATAACAGAATATAACGTCATGTTTAATTAATTACGAATCACATAATAAAGCAATGGACGTTTGAAATTTCAAATTACTTTCAGTATTTCATATTTGAGGAAAGTGAAAGTGAAATGTTCGTCTCATGTAGTAGTTTCATCATTTGAAATAAGTATATTTATAGCTGTTGAGGATGTATTTAGTCAGAATAAAGAAAGTTTGACAGGGTACATTTCCTTTTTGCCAAAGTCATTTATTGAATCTGCACAGTGTAATTTCTAGTTATTCTATACACAAAGGTATATGGTGAAGTAGAATACTATTACATTATTAATAAGGGTTCAAAACGTTAACCAAAAACATTTTAAAAATTCCTCTGAGTTGAAATGGTGATCAAAACAAAAATAATATGAATGTGAGATAATTAAGATTATCAATTTAATAGTTAAAAGGAAGAAGCAAACACTTATCTAAAACAACTTATACAATAAGGGCTATTAAGATCATGGTGAAATAAGCTATCAAATATTTCACTGCTGAGTACGCAAGCCAGGCTTGGATTGATAGACCACAAAACCGTCTGATGGGCACAAGTTTCTTATCTACGGTCTCTTAGAACCAGTGTTTTGGAATTCGTTAATAATTTCCAATGAAGTTTCTACTGGGAATAGACTATCCTAATCGACCTGGCGCTCAACAATAAGATTATTGGTCGATTTGCATCTACTTTTAGATAACCTCATTAGATAGTGTCTGGATATTCATTCAATACAAAAGTCAATACAAAATGATGTAGAAGAGTAAATAAACTGACAGATATATATTGAGGTAACCTACAATGACAATTTATCCGTTACATATTCTTGGATTAGGCATCTGCTGGAAAATACAATGCTTGGCTTGGCCATATGAAAGGTTTTCCTTAAGGATTTTGGCAATCAGTTTTTAAGATCGCCATAGCCATACCATTTTTGAATTACATTTCTATGAATAAAATGTCCTTAGGCATGGTAAAAGATATTTCAATCTGTACTTTTCATTTCTGTCAATAAATCTAGGAGGAAATGGATTTTACACAAGTATTTGTCGGACTTTATTCAGCCCTTTGTTGACTTTATCTTCTGTGTTCTAACTTCGAGGACGGAGATTAAATTCAACTTTATCTTTCTATTTAGCGATATCCAACGTTTGAACCTGGTATACTACGTACTCGAGGTTAACTTTCTATGTATCAATCTTTGCAGTGATCCATGCTGTCGTATTTCGGTAAAACATTGATTCAATGAAATTCTGCACTCGTTTTTGACTGCCGTGTAAATAAAACTAACTGATGGGACATTTTGAACCCATATAGTATTTTACTGGTTTCACCATGTTCATCAAAGACAATGAAGGTATCATCAGTAGATCTCTTGTACAAATGAACGATAACAGTAATCATTAAAAATATATTTTGATACAAATAATTTTAACAATCATCCAGAACTGAAAAGTCATGATGCAATCAGATTGTATCAAATTAAGTATACTGGTTTAAAATCTCTAATAAAAACAACATAAAGTTTGACAGCTACCTATTACAATCATTAATAGCTGATTTACTGTTTTTTTTACATGAATTTAATGTTTAACCAAAGACACATATTTCTGACGTCAAATAATGTTTGAAGTATGGAAATATTATGATTTGTTTAATACTGTATATAAAGATCAAACGTTAACTACACTAATCTTATTGTAAAATGAAACTTTCAAAGTAATCGTTACAGTTCAAAAATGCTTAACTTGTTACTAGCTCAACTAAATGTACTTACTTACTTACTTACACCTGTTATTCCCAATGGAGCATAAGCCGCCGACCAGCATTCTCGAACCCACTCTGTCCTGGGCCTTCTTTTCTAGTTCCATCCGATTCTTTTCCATTTCTCTCATGTCTATCTCCATTTCCTGGCGTAATGTGTTCTCTGGTCTTCCTCTACTCCATTGGCCTTGAGGATTCCATGTGAGGGCTTGTCTTGTGACGCAGTTGGGTGCTTTCCACAATGTGTGTCTTATCCACTTCCAGCGCTTCTTCCTGATTTCTTCCTCCGCTGTGATCTGGTTTGTTCTTGCCCACAGTTAGTTGTTGCTAATAGTGTCCGGCCAACGGATCCGAAGTATTTTGCGTAGACAACTGTTAATAAACACCGGTATCTTCTGGATGATGGCTTTCGTAGTTCTCCAGGTTTCTACCCCATAGCAAAAACTCTAACTAAACGTAAGTCTATCAAAAAACCTTTGCACATAAAATCTTATTCACTATTCTATAAATGAATAATAGTAATACATTTCATATAAGATTTAACAGATATAAGCATAATAAAAGAGAATAACTCATCAAAGCTACCACAAAGAAGAAACGTACCATAAACTATCGTTTTTATTTTTCTAAAAAAAAAGAGAAAATCAAGCCATTATGTAATCATCTAAAGTGCTATGCGTTTATTAACTTAACCGAAGAAAAAGTACATAGTGTTTCCAAGACTTATTTAAGGAAGAGAAGAAAAAAGTTATAATTTCACATTATGCTTAAAGTAAAGTTTTGTTTTTTCGTTTTCAATTACTCCATTTATTATGACAGTTCAAATGATGATACTCGTTTATTGTTTATGTACCATAGTTACTTATAAGTAATATACACTTTTTATCTTGTCTGATTATATTTCGTTTTTTTAAATTTATTTTTATTACTTTCTTCTTTTTCTTTTATGGAATTATTTTTCAAGTTAAGCAAAAGTAACGATATACATGGATTGATAATTTTATTGTTTCATGAAGCATCTCATTAGGTATTTTGAAAACAAATAATAAAACAAACCACAAATTTTACTGATGTGTTCCAAACTAAGTAGAACATAATAACACCACTTAACTACTAGTAGAATGAAAAGTATAATTACCTAGAAAATTGAAAATATTTTATTAAACTTAAATATAAATTCACTTGGTGTTGTTTTACTTGTGTCTTTCCATTGTTATTTAAGACTGCAATTGATCAGTCTCATGTTGACATATGTGCATCCTGTGAGGATTGCCTCGATATAGTCTTAAGTTACAAGCTTTTTAAGCAAACATGGATAGTGATTGGCAGTGGAATCCAGGACGCGAGTTTCGTCCTATTTGAAACTCGTCAACTGGATGCACCTGCATCTCAGATGTGATGTTCATTCCGGGATTCGACCCCAGTAACGTTCACTTCAAACGAAATCGAGTTATCCACTTAGCTACTTAGTCCAGAGCAAACATCAACCCTGAGATGCAGGTACATCCAGTTGACAAGTCCCAAATAGGACGAAACGTGCATTCTGGATTTCACTGCTGGCCACTATTCATCTTTGCTTGAAAAAACAAATACAGTGTTATTGGGTTTTTCTTTTGTAGTTGCTGTTGTTAAAATAAAATATTCTTTCTTGTTAGACAAAATGCACCTTGAAAATTGTAAATTTTTCTTTGATTTATTCAAACAAACTGTAAGGGATTGAATAAGAAAAAGAGGATTCAGCGAAAAAACTTTTCTTTTCGACGAAATC